TCTACCTTGCCGGCACAGGGGGAGGGGGCGGCTCTGCCTCTCAGCAGGCCGCTGCTCCTCTTCTGCCGGTGGGTCGCAGGCCCGCCTACCTTGCAGGAGTGATTGGAAGCTCTGTCCCACCGCGGGCCACTGGGCCTTTTCTGTCGGTGGTCACCTGGCAGGAGCGGGGGGTGGGAGGTGGCTCTGCCCCCAGCAGGCCGCTGGGCCTGCTCTGTGCGTGGTCACAGTTCCCTCTACCTTGCCGGTGCAGGGGGAGGGGGCGGCTCAGCCTCTCAGCAGGCCGCTGCTGCTCTTCTGCCGGTGGGTCGCAGGCCTGCCTACCTTGCAGGAGTGATTGGAAGCTCTGTCCCGCCGCGGGCCCCTGGGCCTTTTCTGTCCGTGGTCACAGTTCCACCTACCTGGCAGGCGCGGGGGGTGGGGTGCGGCTCTGCCCCTCAGCAGGCCGCTGGGCCTGCTCTGTGCGTGGTCACAGTTCCCTCTACCTTGCCGGTGCAGGGGGAGGGGGCGGCTCAGCCTCTCAGCAGGCCGCTGCTCCTCTTCTGCCGGTGGGTCGCAGGCCCGCCTACCTTGCAGGAGTGATTGGAAGCTCTGTCCCGCCGCGGGCCACTGGGCCTTTTCTGTCGGTGGTCACCTGGCAGGCGCAGGGGGTGGGGGGTTGCTCTGCCCCTCAGCAGGCCGCTGGGCCTGCTCTGTGTGTGGTCACAGTTCCACCTACCTGGCCGGCGCAGGGGGTGGGGGGCGGCTCTGCCCCTCAGCAGGCCGCTGGGCCTGCTCTGTGCGTGGTCACAGTTCAAGACAAAATTCTTAAAAGCAGCCAGTGGGAATATAGGGAGTGCTATACTTAGAAGGACAAAGATAAAGATGACAGCATTTAACAAAAAATCAGTTAGAATGATTTATTATCAGCAACAACACAAGCAAAAAGTCAGTGGACTGACAAATTAAAGTACTGAAAGAAAAATAAAAACTTTCCATCTACAATTTTATAATCACAAAAATATTCCTTACAAACAAAAGTGAAATAAAGTCTTTTCCTAAAAATACAAAATCTGAAATAATTGATTACCTGCAGACCCACACTACTAATTATGTAAAAGAAGGGCTTTGGCAGAGGGAGGTGACACCACCAGAAGTGGTGTCAACCGAAGACTGTTTCTGATCATTTCTATCCCTTTAAAAGCAAATTTTTACTTTAAACAAAAATAATAAACATACATTGTGCAATCTGGAACATATATGGAAGTAAAATAACGTGGCAACAGCAGCACTCAGGTAAAAAGGAAAAACAATGGAAGTACACTCAGACAGAGTTCTAGTACTAGACGTGAAGTGCAATCCAACTGGAGAGTGGATGTCAATATACTACACCCTGCCAATGAAATTACAAACAAAACAAATATATATATCAAATAAGTCAAAAAAAGAAGTAAAATAAAGGAAGAAATAACACTCAAATTTGTATAAAAGAAAGCAGAAATGAAGAAAAAGAAAACAAGGACTAATGGGGCATATGAAAAATAAGTAACAAGATGGTAGGCTGTACTGATAATCAGATAAAATGTAAATGGTCTCTGCTTTCCAATTCACCTGGAGATATTGTTGTATTGGATAAAAAAAGACCAAACTACATGATGCCTTCCAAAAAAAATATATACCTAGAATATAAAGACACAAATAAAAGGATGAGGAAAGATATCACATACAAGTCCTAGCCAAAACAAACCTAAGTGGGTATGTTAACATCAGGAAAGCAAACAGAGAAAAGAGGCATCCATAGATAAGTCCTTTTATAATAATAAAGAGGTCAGTTAATCAAAAGACTGAAAAATTATAAACTGTTAAGTAGAACATATAGTTAGAGGATAGATTAATGGAAATTAATTTGTGTGATTATGGAAGCCCAAGGTCCTGCGGCCATCTGTAAGCTGGAGAACCAAAAGAGCCATTGCTTCCAGTCAGTCGGAGATCAAAGGCCTGAGAACCAAGCCAGCTAGGATAAGGTCCTGGAGCCTGAAGGCCCAAGAACTAGGAGCTCTGATCTCCAAAGTTAGGAGCAGATGGATGTTCCAACTCAAGAAGAGGGAGAGAATTTTTGCCTTCCTCCACTTTTCTGATCCATTTGGATCTTCAATAATTTGGATGTTGCCTGACCACATTGGTGAGGGTAGAGCTTTCTTACTCAGTCTACTAATTCAAATGCTGTCTCTTCCAGAAGCACCTTCACAGACATACCCAGAAATAATGTTTCATCACTTGTCTGAGCATCTTTTAGCCTAGTCAAGCTGACACATAAAATTAATTTTCACATATGTAGAGCTTTCTATTGAATCTCTGAAAAGCCCTTAGAATTTGTAAGTGAGCAAGGTTGTAGTAGGCAAAATCAATATACTTAATTGCACTTCTACAAATGAGCAATAAACAATCAGAAATCAGTGTTACAAAATGCTGTTTAGCACAGCACCAAAAATTATGAAATACCCAGGAATACATTGACCAAAAGATAGGAAAGACCCATATGAAATATTACTATGAAATATTGCTGGAAGAAACTAAAGAAGATTCAAATGAATTGTAAAGATGTCCTGGGTTCATGGAGTGAAAGATCTCAATTGTTAAGATGTTGTTGTTCTACAAGTTGATCGTTGATCCATGCAATTTTATCAAAATCTCACCAGTCTTTATTTCTTAACAGAAATAGAATTTTAGATTTCTAAAATTCATATGTACATGCATAGGACCTAAAAAGTCAAAACAACTTTAAGAACAAAGTTGGAGGGCTCACACTATCTGATTTAAGACTATTGTAAAGCTGCAGTAATTAAGACAGTGTTATCATTGTAAAGATAAACAGATCAATGGAACATAATAGAAGGTACAGAAATAGACTTGCATATATATGGACAAATTTGTCAACAAAGATACAAAGGCAATTCAGTGAAGACAGTCTTTTCCATAAGTGTTGAGGGCCACAGCCGAGTCAGAATGACACATGACATTTTTGCCAGAAGTAGTGGTTGAGAGGTGACCCCAGCGAGCCGTTAAGATGATGAGTTCTCGCAGAGTTCCCGTTGCATTCCGGTTGAGCTCTTGTGGGGATTCCTGAAGAGTTCGCGTTGGTTGTTGAAGTTCCAGTGGTGGAAGTTCCGGTTGGTGTGTGGTGTGTTCCTGAAGGAGCCGTGTGGGTGGTGTTCGGGAGAGTTCCCGGGGAGCGTGTTGGTGGAGTTCAGAAATAAAGTTTGTTCCTGCTTGAGTGGCTCATGATTTGTGCCCAGCCAGACTACGGCACATAAGTAGTTGTGTAACATTGAAAACTTCTAGGCTAAAACATGATCTTTAAGAACATCATACTCCAGATAAATCATACTCCATTAAATTCATTCTGAACACACACTTGACCAAAAATGAGATATGGATGGCAAATAAGCATAGAACAATGTTCCACATCACAAGTTATTAGGGAATTTCAAATTAAAACAAACGAAATACCACCATTGTTTTAGTCAGCCTTTTTGTCACTGTGACCAAAAGACCTGACAAGAACAATGTAGAGGAGTAAAAGTTTTGGAGGGGCTCCTAGTTTCAGAAGGCTCAGTCCATAAATGGCTGAGTCCATAACTTTGGACCCAGAATGAGGCAGAATATTATGGTGGAAGAGTGTGGTGGAGGAAAGAACTTCAAAAACATGGCAATCAGGAAGCAGAGAAAGCTCTACTTGCCAGGGACAAAATATATATCCCAAAGGCATTCCCCCAGTGACTGTAACTCCTCTAGCCACATCCTAAATGCCTACAGTTAACTCCTGGCTAATCCATTTCAGTGGATTAAGCCAACCATTTGGCTTCAACTCTCCTAATCTAATTTTTTCACCTCTGTATGTTCTTGCATCATTTCACACATGAACTATTATGTTCAGACACTTCATATCTGAATATAATAACTACATATCTATTAGATGGCTAAAATTCTTAACAGCGACACCATCAAATGCTGTCAAAGATGTGGAGCAAAGGAAAGTCTCATTCATAGTTGGTGAGAATGCAAAATGGTATGGCCATTTTGGAAGACAATCTGGCAGTCTTAAGAGAAGTAAACAATCTTTCCGTATGACATAGCAAATTCCCTGTAAGTTAAAGTGACTATTACACTCTGGAGTTCATAATGGAAATGAAAGATATATTTTCAAAACTCGTGAAATTGAAAAGCTGAAATTAATCAAGACCTAAACATTATTCCAAACTTTACAGCACGATATACCACTTAGAGAGGTATGGATAAAGTTCTTCTGAAACTAGTCTAGACTCTGGCCTTACTGGACTTCTGCTTCTGGGGCTTCTTGCCACAGCTAGATTCCCCAGTGATCCTGGGCTGAGCTCGAATCCCAGTGGACCTGGTGGCTCATCTCTACATGCATGTTGGCTGCAGGCTCGTCTTCCATGATAAAAGGAGCTATGCCTCCATTTAGTGATACATTAGTTCCCCTTGATCATCACACATACTTTAAGTAGGGACTATCCATGCTAATGAATTGCTTTATAATGAACTATTCATGTGTGTATGGAATACTATTATGTGACCAACACTATGCGGCACACCAAGGATACAGCAAGGGTGCTTGTCCTGGAAATTTAAGTTATCAAATGGAGTGAGCAAGCAAAACACAGAGGTTGTTAAGTGGTTTGATGAAAATAAAACAGGATAAAGAAACATAAGGAAGACTTGGGCATGGTGACATTAGATAGGGTGATGAGGTCCCTCTGTGTTGGTGCATTGTAGCCTCTGAACTCAAAAGGAGATGAAGACAGCTCTGTAAACATCAGGGAGAGGAGAGAGTAGCAACATCCAAGGTAACTGACCTATGAGTTTATTCTGAGAGAAATATGAGCAGAAGCAAAAAGGTATGAGAGAGGCACGTGGCAAAAAGGAAATTGCAATGATACAAAGAAGAGTGTTAATGAGACTGATGATCTCAATGTGTGATTTCATTTTACCTGTGATGTCAGGAGAGGAAAATAAAGCAACCCTCCTTGAACTCGGAGCTGTGGAACCTTTAACCAAGCTTCTTGCTCATGAAGACAAAATTGTAAGAAGAAATGCTACTATGATATTTGGAATCCTGGCTTCTAACAGTAAGTACCAACTTTTTTAAAAAACAACAGTGAATATCGACTTTTAAAAAATAAACAATCTCATGTAGTGTAACAATACACTTAAATTTCTTCTTTTAAATTTAAGAGATTTGCTTTGCTTGTGTTTAACCTGACTTCAGTGTTAACAAAATAGCTACATCAGTACAATGCAACAAATGGATGATTCATATTTTAAGGGATATTTTTAAAAAATAAAAATAGGTGCAGATATACACATACTAAAGCTTCTCTGAAAACTGATGATACAGTGTATCCCAGTCTTACAAGTAGGAGGAGTAATCATTACCTTTTAAAACAAAAATGGATTTTTCTTAAGTTAGTGTAATGTCATTTGCTGACTACATGTAAATTATACTTCATCTATATTTCATGGTGGATAAAGCCTAGAGTAAAGAGTTTTGATGAATTGATTTTTAAAACTGCAAACTATTATCTCAGGGATTGGCTGTATCACAATTCTGTATCATATTGTTGCCAAAAATTCAGATGTGGACATTTATTCTTCAGTCAAATCTAATACTTGCTTGAAATATTTTTATGTATTTGATAGTGTGGTATAATAACATTAGTTAAAATATGCTGTTATGTCTATTAGAATATTGATTTGGCCCAAAACCAAGCCAATAAAGGAAGTCATGGCTTGACTTATGAACAGTGCAAGTCATTTTCCTATGCTATCAGGGTAGTTTTTGAGCCAGCCAGACCACAAAAGCTTTGTAACTGACAAAAAACTTAAAGGACATTCTTAATGGAGACTGAATTCTGCCATGAAGTTCAGGCGGCTGGAAATAAACTCTGACGATGGAACATAGCTCAAATCACAATAGTTTCCCAGTCTCACCAGGGTCTCAGCAGAACAGGAGCACAGATTCCTTCCCCTCCTTCCCGTATTCCCATCTTCCATTTTCTCTGGATGCTGTTCGATGACAGGGTGGTATCCTGGTCCCGTGTGCCCAGCAGGGGCTGTGGCATCAGTGTTCCCAGAGACCGTTATAAGTGAGGGATGGAAAGAGGAGAGGAAGGGGGTATTCTGAGTGTCGTTACAATCTCAGGTACAAAGACTGCCTGGAGAGCTCCTGCCGTTCTGGAAACAGGCAGGATTCTGCTGAGGTCCCCGGTGTAGGCAGCACCATCAGGAGCCATGACAGGGGTAATGCTGTAAGGCAGGGGCTCTGAGAGCATTTCCACAGATGGCAGCAGAATGAAGAAGTTTGTGGGGGATGGACACCCTACCAACTCTTACATGGCACTGGCGATGCGCCAGGAACTGTTCTAAGTGCTATTTGGACATCGAGTCATTTATTCCTCAGGAGCAGCTCTGCAAGGTAGGCACGACTCTTATGCCAACTACATGAGTCAACTGAGGTGACGAGAAATGAATAACAGAGTAATCATTTGTATGGAGCCTTTAAATGGATCTCACGGATGAGCTGTATCATAATTGTGCACAGTGCCATGTTAAATGTATAACTGAAAGCAGAGAGAACATATAACCAGAAAAGGGAGAGGGGCATCACTGCATCTCTCTTGCAGCATCAGGTGACACACACCTTGGTTTGCCAAACAAGGTCTTTACACACCTCAGAATTTGAGGAACAAGGGTATTTGTTATACACCTATTGTATATACCTATTGTATAACAACACTCACCTTGGGTGGTGGAGTTCACTCCATTCAGTGTACCTGAGGGTCTGAGTATTATGCCAAGGCACAATGAGGTCCTCCACCTTGGGACAGCACACTTCCTAGAAGAGTGATTATTTTTTGGTAGTTCAAGTCTATTCACCTCCATATGTCTAGCTGTGATTTTGCCTGATCTCCTTTAGCCACTTCCAACAGAAACAGAGAAAGCAGAAGTTTTGAATAAAAGACATAGTCCTGAATTCCTCAGGAAATGATGTCCAGTAAAAGCCAAGTGTATTCAGCAGGTAATGAGAAAGAATTCATGCAGACACCATCTACTTTGGTTGCTGCAAAGTGAACTTTCCCAAAATTCTCATGATGCTGATTTTGGCCTACAGATGAAGATAAGTGAGCAAGAAGATCAATTGTAAAACTAAAGGATCAGAGATACCTTATTCCTCAGAAAAGTGAACTTTAAAACAGCCAATATACTTATCTTTAAGCATTTTGGGCATTTTCATTAAATGGAATGTAAGCAATCAAGACGTATTAACTGAAATAGGTTAGAATAATTCTTCTTTGCATTCTATGTAAGCTTTATTAAAATAAAAAAATTTAAATACCCTTCCAGCAAAAGAAAAAGAAAAAATAATTACTATTGTATAATAAAAGTGTAGGGCACAATAACCCAATTCTACTGATATGTGCTCTAGGCACATTTGGCACTTTCACAGTTATCACTTGTGGTGTTTGGAAGGTAGGTAGCCCAGTGGTCAAGGGATATAGGGGAGAATTCCTGTAGGTCAGCCCAACCTGGACTTGCAACCTAGCCCTGCCACTTACTTGTGTAATTTTTGGACCTCAATTCCCTTGTCTGTAAAATTAGATAATAATCATATCTATCTCTTAAGGGACTGTTCAATAGACATTGCCATTATTATTTTAATAAAAATGGATGTTCTGTTTCTTCCTTTGTAGGTGATGTTAAAAAATTGTTAAGGGAGTTAGATGTCATGAGTTCTGTTATTGCCCAGCTCTCTCCAGAAGGTAACTTTGTATTCTACATTCACTTCAAAAATGGAACTGGTTTCTTTTTAAATTTTATGAAATTGCCTATTGTAAATAGTTCACATTGAACTATCACTTATGAGTTGTCATTAAAATCTTGAAAACCACAGCTTAATTTTGAGTTTTATGGAAAAGGTGGGCTCTAAGTAAGATTTGTGGAGCTCTTGTTTTCAAAGCATATGTTAAAATATGGGTTGAATAAGCATTTAACATACTTTTCTTATTTATTTTTGATATACAGAAGAAGTAGTTATCCATGAGTTTGCGAGTCTTTGTCTGGCAAACATATCTGTCGAGTATACAGGTAAAGTACAAATATTTGAACATGGTGGGTTGGAGCCACTCATCAGACTACTGAGCAGCCCAGACCCTGATGTGAAGAAGAATTCTATTGAATGCATTTACAATTTGGTTCAGGTAAGATTAACTTCTAAAAAGTGTTAAAAGTGTTTTGATGGTTAGGGTTCTAGGCCCGTGGTAGAGAGATTTCCTAACATGCATAAGGCTCTGGGTTTGTGTCCCAGAGCAAACCTTTTTCTGAGAAAAGAAAAAACATTTTGACAGAAACTATTACAGGATTTGTTTTCCAATTTTAAAAAGTTTTTTTTTTAATAAAAAACTCACCAGGTTTGCATTATCAGTTCTTCTGGATACATTTAGTATTTATCACTCAAAAAATAACATAAATTTAGTGTAGATATAGTTTCACATTTTATAAGTAATTGCCTCCTGTGAAAGCATATTTTAGAAATATATTTCTGTTTTTTTTAATATTTTTTAGTGTTGACGGACCTTTTTTTTATTCATTTATTTATATGTGGTGCTGAGCATTGAACCCAGTGCCTCACACATGTGAGGCAAGGACTCTACCATTGAACCACAACCCCAGCCCCATATATTTCTGTTTTAAAAGAATAGCATGGCATGCATATTAGGGTGGGATTAATCTATATAAAATGTGCTTCTTCTAAAACAGGAAATCTAAGATTCCTGTTGAACCAAGGAAGTGACCTATTGATCTAACCTTGGCAATTTAAGCACATTGAATATAATCTCTCCCCTGTTCAATATACCAAGGCTTTGGATTAGATTTATTTATCAAGGGGGAAAAAAAAAGAGCATTCATTGTTCACAATAGCAAGAGGCAACCTCACTGGCTGTTTTCCTCTATAATGTCTTATTTATTTTTGATACACAGAAGTATTTATCTGAGTTTCTGAGTCTGTCTAGCAAACATGTCTGTAGATTTTACGGGTAGAGTGCAAATATTTGAACACAATGGATTACAGCCACTCACCAGACTACTGAGCAGGCCAGACCCTGATATGAATACGCTGCCACTTTCCCCTCCCTGTGGTCCTGCCCTCTGCCCTGTCCCCCACCCACAACACCCTCTCAACACCCACACCCTCACACCTGCAGCAGGTCAGTTTCCCAGAAGTTTAACAGCCTTCTCTGCTGCTTTTTCTGCTCATTTCCGTAATAATCAACACACACATTTGATAAGACTGAGATGAGGCAAAACTACAAAAGCCCCATTTTAAATGGCTGTCAATAAAGTGTGAAAGAAAGATTTTGAAGCAAGAGTGAGAGAGAGGATTTGTAGCAAAGCAAAGTATCTGGGAAAAGAGAGAGAAATAGATTCAAAATCTTTCTGGCCTCAGTGTGTCTGCACAACTGGACCAGGCCCCCACTCCTAAGAGAGGTCCTATAGAGAAAGTTGGGCTCCTTTTTGCCTTCTCTGGTTACTTAGGCTTTCCCTCACCCAACAGGCTTAAATATTCCTACACATGTGTTTATGTTTTTAATCTCCAGACTCCTTTTACCTGTATTTCCCTATTTTTTTTTAATCAAGCAGGAATGAAAAGCAATTGTCTCCACAATTTTTTTTGGTGGGGGAGGGGGGAGTAACCGGGATTCAGGGGCACTTGACCACTGAGCCCCATCCCCAGCCCTATTTTATATTTTATTTAGAGACAGGGTCTCACTGAGTTGCTCAGTGCCTTGCTTTTGCTGAGGCTGGCTTTGAACTCACAATCCTCCTGCCTCAGCCTCGCCAGCCTTTGAGATTACAGGCCTGTGTCACCATGCCCAGCGCCCCCACAGTTCTTAATGACAGAAGTATTAGCTAACAGCAGGACACCAGGAATGCTGTAGCAAAGTTCCACAGTCTGGCTGGCTTAAAACAACAATTCTGAGGTTAGAAGTTCAAAATCAAGGTAGGGCTGCACTTGAGGCTGGGTGAACTCCTTCCTCGCCTCTTCCTGGCTTCTGGTGGGGACGGCCAGTGATGGCTTTCCTTGGCTTACATCTGTGTCACTCCGGTCTCTCCCTTTGTCATCTTTCCCATAAGGGCACCCATCTTATAAGGACACTCTTAAGCACCCAGCGTCCTCCAGGATGACCTTATCTTACCTAATTACCCTTGCAATGACTATTTCTAAATGAGGTCACATTCACCCAATAAGGTGGGGACACAATTTAACCCATAATAAAGAGCAACCTATACTTTCTATGTCTAAAGAAAGCTGAATATTAGAGGTCAGTTGAAGGATGTCCAGGAGGAGGAGGCTTAGTTGTAAGTGGAGGCTTTTCCACCTTTAATGCTATTCTCTACTTGTCACGTTTGGGGTGAAAATATCATTTAACAATCAGAGTTGTTAATGGGGCTCTTAGTGACTTCTTGCCATGCTTTTTCTTCTGTTCACCACCACCAGTCACCTCCTCCCTGCTCCCACTCACACAGAATTATTGATACACTTGCAGAACAACTTGTCTAAAATATAGTGATCTCTTGATATCATAAATGTCTTAAGGAAAGGTCATGCATCTGCTCTAAACCTGTGTAAATTTGCATGCAGACAGCCTGTCAATAGCCTGCATGCACATAGGTATTCATAAACAATCCATTTGAAGATAATAAGGAATCGGTGCCATCATTTCATCTTATCAAATACTATTTGAAACATTATATCAGAGTATGAAAAGAATTTTATCATGCATAGGTTTTATCGTAATGCTATTTATGATAGTAGGAATTTGCTGCTTCATAAAGAAACACTGGATACTATAAAAGTCATTGGTCATGTTTATTTCTGGTTGTTGACAATGTCTGCATATACCAATGGATAATTTGGTGTTGTCCACTGAGAGTTTTATTATTTTTGTGAATTATTTTGGAAGCAATCTGGAATAAAAGATGGAGAAGTTGTAACTCACAATGTTATTTGCCAGAAAATAGAATTTCTCCATTCTTGGGACTTTATTTTGCTTCAGAAATTACTGAAGTGATCATTTGTATTTCATGGCAGGATTTTCAGTGTCGAACTACACTTCAAGAACTAAATGCAATCCCTCCTATGTTGGAGCTCTTGAAGTCAGAGTATCCAATTATTCAGTTGTTGGCTCTCAAAACCTTAAATGTCATTACAAATGATAAGGAATCCCGTACAATGCTAAGAGAAAATCAAGGATTGGACCAACTTATTAAGATCATAGATACTAAGGTATTTTCAAAGAATATCTTTTCTAAATGTTTTATAAAATATCAATTGTATAATATTTAAATTAAATTTTATTATATTGAAGCATGGTACAAAGTATAGTGGAGTAATTAATTAATTGCTACATAAAGGTTATTAACCTGATTAAATCAGTCTCTTTTTTTACATTTTGAAACAGGATCTTACTAAGTTGCTTAGGGCCTTGCTAAATTGCTGAGGCTGGCCTTGAACTTGTGATCTTCCTGTCTCAGCCTCCCAAGTAGTTGGGATTACAGGTGTGCACCACCATGCCTGGCTTTAGACTAATTATTGAGGCCATTTTAAGCTAATTAAAAAAAACAAAAACTTTTGGCTTAGAAGATTTAAAATTTTGAACTCTTGTTCTATGATCTTCCTTCTAATTCCCCAAAACACCTAGAATTAGTTTTTTAACCTTTATCTGCCACGATTTTCTCTGGAATAAGACACAAAGTAATTTATCTTGTAAACACATTTTGAGAAATATTGGAGCTGAATTTCTGTAGTTCCCACTAAGCTCCTTAGGAATGAATTGTACACTTTCAGACTCTGTAGGCCTTCTTTATAATTTCCCAGTCACAGAAACCAATCTAACAACTTATCGAATTCTTTACTTGCCTGAAAGGGAGTCAGGCAACTTCTGCAAGGGTCCACTGTCTAAACTTCAGAGTGAAATGGTAATATGTAGATTTCAGATCCACTTTCATAGGTTATTATGTGAATAAATTTAATGAATTCTAATGACAAAATCTACTCTTAGTACCTCTTAGAAATTCGGGAGCTAGGGACAGAGTAAAGATTTCCTGAATAATAACTTAATATTAAGTTTCACTTTATCTAAGCATTAAAAAAATTAATAAATCTCAGAGCTTAATTATACCAAACTGGTAAAATACAGAAGGGCAATATTCACACACATGTGTTTCTCAGCTGTGTAAATCTAGCCATCTTTGGTTTGTTGATCCCCTATTTACCAGTTTCTGAGCAAAACATTTTGCATTTGTGATATAGAATTTGAATGCATGATAAACCCAGTATTTTTTTTTACCAATTTAAAAATGGAAACTGAAAATCAGAGTGGTTATTTTATTTTCCCTATGTTGCTCAAGTAGGAGGAGAAACTGCAGGGATGAACCTAGACTTGTCTGATATATCATGGTATTTTCACCTGTTTGATATTTTACCTGTTGTCTTTTAAATAAAAAAATGGGATGGAAACATCTACTATGTGGTGGGCATTGTTTAGATGTTTTACATTCGATTTTATTAATTTTATAATTCTTTTGAGAATGTGATAATGTTTTTCTATAAGATGAGAATAAATGATAATAATTGTATCATTATACATGTCACATGTAATTATTGAATCATTAACCCCATTTTACAGGTAAGAAGAATGAAGCTGACAGATTAAGTAACTTGCCCACAATCACAGAGTTAGGACATTTGCAAGAAGGATACGTTTTCAGAATTAATGCAGGTGTTTTAGTTGGGAAAAATTCAAATGATATCAAAATATCTAAAGTAAAAAATGGAAGTGCCCCCCACAAACACACATATGATGCAGTACAGGGCCCAGATGTTTGCTCTCATTGCTTTTGTTCACCATCATCCTGGCTTTTCTTACCACGGTGACAAGGCCAAGAGAAAAATAGGCATAAAAGACTGACAGACTAGGGAGGAAGAATAAAACGGTATTTATTCACAGATTACGTGACTGGAGAAAATCTAGCAAGACTACAAGATCCTGATAGAACTAATAAGTAGATCTATCAAAGTCAAGGGATAAAAGCTCCATACAAATTAATGGAGTTTCTACATACTACAAATAAACAACTGAAAAGAAAAATTGATACAATTACATTTACAGTGCATTCCTAATGCATGAACTACAAGGAGTTAAATTTAACAAAATTTGAGCAAAATCTATTCACCAAAAAAATACAAAACAGTTTTAAAGAAGGCTTAAATAAATGAAGAGTAAATAAAAGAATTAACATGCCTGTGGATTGGAACACATGAAATTAATGTCATTTCCACCAGATTGCTTTTGAAATTAAAATTTCAGTCAATTTTTTATATAACTATTTATTGATTTGGTTGTATTTAGGTATACCATTTATTACTTGTTTTCTCTTTGTCCGATCTATCGGCTCATTCCACTCTTCTGCCTTCTATCATGTTAATTTAACTTTTAATGTTGCATTTTAATTTCTCTATCAGCATTCTAGCTATATCTCTTTGCACTTGGTGCTTGCTCTGGTGATGACAATAGACAACTTAAAATGATCATATTCTACTTAGAATTAATATGGAACTACTTCAAATAAAATATTGGAAACTTAAAACAATATATCTCTGGTTTTATTTTGTTTTGAATAGTCCTGTATAGTATGAATTTTTAAAAAATAAGGAAAAATCTCATATCCACATTTGTGTGTCTTGTCTACTCTTGAATATTTAGTTCTTTATTATCTACCCACATATTTATCATTTGGAGTATTGTTTATTCTTTCCTGTAGATTTAAGCTTCCAACTAGGTCATTTCCCTTCAGACAGAGGAGCCTCACTTAGCATTTCTTATAGTGCAGATAAGCTGGCATAAATTAGCTTTTTAAAAATTTATTTGAAAGTTTCTTTCTTTTGCCTTCAGTTTTGAGAAGTTGTTTTTGCTTAATGCAAAATTCCTGGTTTGTACTTTTTTTTTCTGTTTAGCCCTTTGCTATTTCTTCTGAAAGTCACTATTTCTGATATGAATTTGGCCACTAATTATAATATTTCCCTGAGTATAATTTGTCTTCTTTGGCTGCTTTTGAGATTATCCCTTTATCTTTGGCTTCCTGCATTTCTCCTCTGCATAGAAGTTATATATAATTTGTGTATCCTGCTTGGGATCTATAAATTCTTAGATCTGTAAATTATTGTTTTCCATACATATGGGAATTGCAGTCATTATTTATTAAAAAAATTTAAAAAATATTTTTTAGATGTTAATGGACCCTTTATTTTGTTTTTTTATTTATATGCAGAGCTGAGAATCAAACCCAGTGCCTCATACATGCTAGGCAAGTGTTTCTACCACTGAGCCACAACCCCAACCCTCAAAAATTTTTTCTGTTACTTCTCTCCCCTCTAGGACTCAATTAACAACTTTGTTGTCTTTCTTGATATTGCTTTATAAGACTTTATATTGATATTGCTTTAGAAGACTTGATATTGCTTTAGAAGACTCTGTCCTTCATCTCTTACTTTCTTTCTTTTTTGGATTAAATAATTTCAGTGATTCGTATTCAAGATCTCTTTTGCCATCTTCAATCTTCTGTCTAATGAATTTTTCTTTTTAATTTTGTGCTTTTCAAAACTGAAATTTTCATTTATAAGTTACATGTCTGTTCAGCTTTTCTCTTTGTACATATTTATAACAGCTCCTTTAAAGTCTTTGGCTACTTAATCGAACATCTGGCCCTATTTAGAGTGGGATGTAACTGACCACCTTTTTTTTTCTTTTCTTTTCTGTGTTTCACATTCTCCTGTTTCTTTCATGTCTAGTAATTTTTGGTTCAAAATGAACATTGTAGGAAATCCCTTCCAGTGATTCCAGATTCTGTTGTGTTTTCCTGAGGATTGCTGGTACTTTGTTCTAGTAGACAGGTAGCTACAGACTCTGTCCCTCTGTGGTGTCCAACAGCTGGTATCTCTTCTCAGTTCTTACAGTTTCTCAGTGCTGTGGTTTTTAGCCTGACCCCCTGGAGATCTACCCCCGTGATTCAGTGGTTTGGAGTTCAACTATGAATGTGGGAAGGATCTTAACTTAGTTTGGGGGGTGGTGCTCATCGTTTCTCTGTGGCTCCCTTGCTTCTGGGCATTCCCTTCTTTAAGTCTGTAGCTCCTCTATGAGCCCCAGGCTCTGACCTCTGATACCCTAAGCCAGTGAGTCTTCAGCTTTCTACCTGCTGTGTTACACTAGATTGAGAAATCACTATATTTGAAAAGCAGTAAATTTATAAATTTCACCAGCATGGTTCCCTCTTTTAAGGATAAGATATATTGCTTTTTAGTCCCTGCCTGTTTATATTCACGGGGATTCTTGGCACCTCCTCCATGCACATATGACTTAGTGGTCATCCAAAGGCCTGGGCATTGTTTATACTCAGAATTTGGATGACATCCTGTACCAAAGTTCTCCAGAGACACAGAATAAAACAGATAATTAAGAAATTGGCTCACTCAATTGTGGAAATTTGGCAAGTCCAAAGTCAGCAGGGTAAGGCAGCAAACTAGAGACCAAAGGAAGCATTACAATGAGTCCAAAGGCAGCCTATTGGCAGAATTTCCTCTATTTCCATGGAGGTCAGTGTTTTTCTATTAAATTCTTTGACTGATTGGATGAGGCCCACTCACATTATGGAAAGTAATCTGCTTTACTCAAAATCTACTAATTTAAATATTGCACCTTAAAAAAAAAAGGTACTTACAGAAACATCTAGAATGATGTTTAAACAAACATATGGGTACCATGGACTAACCAAGTTAGTAAAACTTAAAATTAACATAAAAATTAACCATTATAAGTTTGTACCATTATACCCTTTGTTCAATTTGCCATTTCTCTCTCTCCATATATGTCCTTAAACCATAATCTTCAAATAAAGACAAGGCCAAGGCCATATATTGACCTAACATGATCCAGCTATCCTATATCCAACCAAAAAGGCATTAACCCTTTCCCAAAGTCCTTGGGTGATGTTTACTTTTCTCCTTAACATTTGGTAACTTAAATGCTACAATTTAAAGTTAACAAAAATTAAATACTATAGTATAAAGTTAATACATCTAATGTAACATAATGGGATAAGAGGGAAAAACAAAGGGATATATTAATACATATGTATACATGAACATACATAAACACACATGAACATACAGATACACATGTGTACATACAAGCACCTCCGTAGTAAAGCAAGGAATACTCATGATAAAGTCTTCACTTCTATTACTGGTCTCATGATGATAGTTGATATTCACAACTGCCTTCTTCTGCTGTCTATTCCATATTCCCTTTGCCTCTAGCAAGTACCTCAACTGATCATAGTTTTGTACTTTGGGACTACCCAATCCTTCATCCTGAGACATTAGTATCCTGCATGGACTGGGTTCTTGTGGAGTTCCATCGACTTTAATCACAGGGCACAAGAGACACCATAAGAGAATCTTATTTTCAGACAAATTCTCCCTTACTTCCACTGTGTAGCAGCAGTCCAATTTCCCCTGCACAGTAACTCTGTTGTTTTGCTTGTTGACTCAGGGACTTGAGGAACCCAAAGTGGGAGGGACCACAGTCTTACCTTCCAATTCAATAGAATCATCATTGTTTGCCCTGGTGAAAGTGTTGCTCCCCTTAGCATTAAGATCTTTAGATCAGCAGAGCATAGGGGTTGCAGGGATAGGAAGCAGAAGTTTTGCTAGTGAGTCATTAGGGGTAATAATGGTGGCGCCACTCCCATTTCCACTCCTTGGTTCCTGGACCAGCTATGGGAGAATTAGCACCATATGTCAGACACTGATTCACAGCCTATGAAGCCTAGTAGAGAACTTGACTGAGCCCTGCAAGGTACTAACACCTGGCTAGTGTTGTAACTTGAGTCTTTAAAAGAACATTCCAGCATTCTATCAAGCCACTGCTTTGGGATGTCGGGGACAGGGTAAGAACAGTGAACTCCCTAAGCATGGGCCCATCACTGCGCTCCTTTGTGGTGAAGTGAGTTCTTGGTCAGAAGCAATGCTGAGTGGAACATCACCACAGTGGCTCATCCTTCCTGCGCCTCTCTCCCTTTTAGGATTTCTTCCTGAAATTTCTAGCTGCAGTAAGGCTGCAGTTTTCCACCGTTTGGGGAGATTCTGATCACCTGGAAAGCAAGCCACAAAATTCACAATCAGTTCCTTCTAACAGTTGCAGATTTTAAGGAACATATCTTCCTGCAGTTTGTCTGCTGTTTCAAAAGTTATTTCTTGGCATGTGTGAGGTCCTGGGTTCAATCCCCAGTTCTGGATAAACCATTTTTTTTCCCTCTAGATTTTAAAATGAATTTTGGTGAAAGATTAAATGAGCAACTTCACTTGGCTACCATTAATGGAAGTGTCCTCTATAGCCTTATTTTTAATTCATAAAACATTTGGAATATGTCAGTTGGAAACGAAAAAAAAAATGGGGCAAATGGTTGGGAGAGGTTTGTTATTTTGGTAAAAACAATTCCCATTTCCTCAGGCCTTGTCACAACAAAATTTCTTACATTATGTTCAAAGTGATCTCAGCTCCTCTTGTAGTAAAATTTGGGAAGAGTAAATAAATTTCTTTTAATACAACTTTCTAAAGTTGTGTTTGCTTTTATTTTTAGGAATTGAATGACCTTCACATAGAAGCACTTTCAGTGATAGCCAATTGCCTCGAAGATACGGAAACTATGACACTAATTCAGCAAACAGGGGGTCTTAAAAAACTCCTAGCGTTTGCGGAAAACTCCACAATTCCTGATATTCAGAAGAATGCAGCGAAAGCAATTACTAAAGCAGCTTATGATGGTATGTCTTGTTTTCAACAAACTAATCATACATTTTTTCCTCTTATATTCATAATTTTGATTAGTACTGACAAACACTAGAGTACCTGCTTTTATATAACCGTTCAAGAATAACACTGCACTTATTCCCTAAGGCCAAAACTCATTAACTACCAATGAGTTAAACTAAAGATTGCTTTATAAGAGATGTAATAAACTCTATGACTTAATTATAATCCTAATGTTTAAGCAATTCATTCCTAAATTAAGTTCTAAAGCCTTTATTTGTCTTGAATTTGGAGTGATATAGAATGTGTGCATTGTTTGTGATCCTGAAAACACTGTTTTGAGAAATCTACATTCAGAATGACATCCATAAAGTAATTTCAAGTTTCAGCTGGAGTCTAGTAGTGCCATGAAAAATAATATGCTCCTACTATATACATAATACAGTTTTCATTTCAGTGACAAGCTATGTTGACATAAATCTGTAAAATATGAGAGATTAATTACATCCCAAGCACTGAAGATGAAATTATAGTTTTAATTTATGTATATTTGGAGTATTTTATTTAATAAAAGATGTGATTTTATTTTTCCCCTTCTGCATCACTATTCTTATAAATGATGACAGCTTTGACTATTTTAAGTGACTTATATTCTAAATATATACACTTGCATCTGTATGTATGTCTGTGTATATTGTATAAAACATTTTTTTTTTCCAGCCCATACTGGATTTCTTCAAGGCCAAGCTTTAATACAGTAAGCAGAATTTCATTTTCTAGTGTGTAGTCAACAGAGAAGCGCCTCACGGAGTAACATTATCAATGCCAAATCTGAAGACAGGCTATGAAATTAAGGTTTTTAATACTGGCAAAGTTGGCTTATTCTGTATCCATCAAATGCAACTTGGATATTATCAGAGCTGGCCAGTTCTGTTTTTTTTTTTGTTTGTTTGTTTGTTTTTTCTGTTCCAGGATTCTTAGCCAATTGAGACCCAAAAGAAAGTTATACTGGGAAGACAGGGACAATGCCAAACCTAGAATTTTGGCCTATCTCGACTTCTCGGTGGCCTAGTGTGGCTGAGTCATTCTGTGTCAGTTCCAGCCCAGGTGGGGGTGGTGAGTTTCATATCTCCTGTCTTGGGCAGCACTGGACAGAGAGTTTTTGGTGTTTCAGTTCAGCACTGGTTCTACCACTGGCCCTGCAGTGACCTGGTTATGTGTCTCTGGGTGAACCACAGCCTCTCCAGACCTGTATATTAATTCATCCACTAATGATTTATTAAGCCCCCACTTTCTGTCAGTAAACCTAGAGCAGCCAAGTAAAGAAGCAATCACAACGCAGTGTTTAAAGTGCTTGATGATGGAAACACAGAATCCCCCAGGAAGGTCACCTGATGCAGATGGAAGTCAGAGACGTCTTCTTGGAATATGTGATTCACAAGATAGGACCTAGGGCAAATGACAGAAATTGGCCAAGCAAAAAGTTGAGTAGGACAGAGGAGGAGGACTAAGAGTTGTCTAAAGAGGAACAGTGTATGGAAAGGCCAGAGGACGGCAGAGTGGGGGAAGTTCTGGACCTGGCAGTATGATAAGTTCAGAATGGAGGTGAATAAAACACAGAGAAAAACTGAGAGTTCCAGCTACAGAAGTAGAGAGATGCCAAATGCTAAGGGACATTTATAAGCCATTATTTAACAGTGAGGAAGAGCTATTGAAAGACTTGGGGTGCGGGGGGTGGGGGGAACATTGCAGCTTTTTGCTTTCTAAAGAAAGAGGACTCTTGCTGCAAAATGGAGAAGAGATTGGAAGCATGCGGGACCAGACATAGGAGACCACAAAGGGGGTTGCTGTGGTAAGCTAGATGGGGCAGCAATGAGCCCCAGCAGAACGGAAAATGCATGTCCTCACTAATATGTGGAAGCTAAAAAGTTGGTCTCAGAAGCAGAGAATAGAATAGTGGCTACCAGAGCCTGGGAAGGGTGGGGTAAGGGGCTGGAGATAGGAGAGTTAAGGGGTACTGGGGTGTACCTGGTGTGGGAGGAATCACTTCTAAAGGTCTATATAGCACAGTGGTATGGACGTGGTTGAGAAAAAATCAGTTGAATATTTCAAAAGACTTTCATAAAGGATTTTGAATGTTCCCAACAGAAAAAAAAGAATGATAAAGATGTGAGGTGATAGATCTTGATCATTGTACATTATATACTGTACATTGTATACATGTATTGAAACATCACACTCAGTACAATCACTATATGTCAGTTGGAAATAAAAATCTATGTTAAAAATATCCTACCTTCTAGACAAATGTATATGTATGGAAACAACAATCAAAACACAAGTACATAGTTTTTCCACAATTAGGAGTTGACAAAATACATATAGATACATAAAAAGTGCCCTGAAACAGAGATGTGGGGGTTCTGATGGATTCAAGGTATCCAGCAAGGAACCACCAAACACAGCTCTTGGCGCATTATGAGGATCCTTAAGTACTTGTGAAATGGCCACCTGTGCTGAGGGAGGGACAAGGTGCTATCAAGGATAAGGACGAGTATCTGACTTGAACGGCTGGGAATTAAGTGGCACAACTCAGAAATGGGGAACTCAAGAGGAGGAGGAGGAGCACATTTTGTTTGAAGGAGAAAAAATGAGTTCCATTCTTTTTTTTCTTTTTCTAACGTGTGATGAAACAGTCTTAATATAAAGTTTGCCATTTGCTTTTGAAATATATATTTCAGTAGTATTAAATATGCTCACATTTTTGTGCTACCATCTATTTTGTACTACAATGTTTTAATTCAGCAAAACAAAAATTCTATACCCATCAAACAGCAAGCCCCCACTCGGCCTCCTCAGTCCCACCACTCTACTTTCTGTCTCTATGACTGTGTCTACTCTAGGTATTTCAGGTATGTGGACTCATACGAATTAGTCCTTTTGTGGCTCTTTAGCACTTAGCATGTCCTCAAGGGTCATCCAAGTTGTAGCATGTGTCAGAATTTCCATGCTTTTTAAGGTTGAATAAAATTCCATTGTAGGTATAAACCACATTTTGGTTTTCCAGTTAACCACTGATAGACAGTTGGGTTGCTTTGGCTTTTCTGGTTATTGTGAAGAATGCTGCTCTCAACATGGATGAACAATGTTTCTTTGAATCTTTGCTCTCAGTTCTTTGGGGTACATACCTAAAAGTAGATTGCTAAGCCATATGGTAATTCTGTCTTTAACTTTTTGAGGGAATGCCGTATCATTTTCCATAGTAGCTGAACCATTTTTAATTCCCACTAACAATGTACAAAGTTTCCAATTTCTCCACATCCTGGCCAATACTTGTTATTTGTTTTGTGATAGTAGCCATCCCTGGAATGGGTATGAAATGGTGATATTTCATCATAGTTTTGATTTGCATTTTCCTGATACTTAGTGAAGTCAAGAAGTTTTTTGATCTACTTATTGGCCACTTAAATATTTTCTTTGGAGAAATGTCTACTCAAATCCTTTATCCAATTTTTAACTGGCTTATTTTCTTTTTGATGTTGAGTTGAACTTTGTCCTTTGTGGACATGAATCTTTTGTCTAATATGTGATGGGCAAAAATTTTCTGACATTCCGTAGGTTATTTTTTCACTCCATTGTTTCCTTTGATGCCTTTGAGTTTTGCATTTTGCTCTAATCCAACTTATTTATTTCCTTTGCTTTTGGCATCATATTCAAGAGCTCATTGCCAAATCCAAAGTCACGAAAGCTTTTCCCTTTTCTAAAAATTAATTTTATAGTTTCAGCTCTTATATTTAGGTCTTTGATCTACATTGAGTTAATTTTGTATATAGCATAGGAAAGTGTCTAACTTGTAGATATCCAGTTTTTCTAACATCATGTTGACATTCATTTTTTATTTATAACACAAAGTAATTCAAACAGATAGTCTCTTAAGTCCTTTTTGGCTTTAGTGTTTTCTGATTTGTTTCGTTGGATTAGTTTAAAATAACTACATTTCAGTTTCAAATTGTGTCTCCTGTCTTTATTTTAGAATACAATGACTAACTCTGTATTTACTTCACCTATGACATTTGTAATTACATCATGTTCCTATCAACCATGATTTTTCCAGAGTGAAGGATCCTTGTTTTAGTCTTTCCCTGTAGATCTGTTCTCAGACTATTCTGTGATCATTCTCTTTCCTCTTTTGGAACTTTCTCCGATTTTATAATACCCTCTTTGAAGTGTGTTGATAAGTATTATGAGCAGTATTTTTAAAACAGGTACTGTGATTTTTACATAATATAAAGATGGGTTGTTTTATGATTATTTTCTATTTCAATCCCACCAACCCTTTGAGGAAAAGACTGGCAGTGAGCTCCAGGGCCCCTTTCTCAGTCAGGATCCAGAGTTCAAAGATATTCATTTTAAATTCCAATATTTTAAATTCATGGTTTTAAAAATGAAAATTTTGCTTTGAGACTGGTATGGCATTTTCTTTGAGTCTGGAGCATGATCCATGTGCACAAGTGATCTGTAAATCTTAAAAAGGGGTATTCGGATTGTGATTGAACCAATGTTTATGTGTGCTATGTGCAAGACACTGTTCCAGAAATAAGGACAGAAAATGAAAGTGATAGATGTGTAAGTATTTGTTGAATAAACAAACAGATGTATTTCCCACAGAATGGAGGGTTTGATATTTATCTTTTAGTCCACCTTTATAAATTATAGTGGACAGGATTTTTTGTCCTTATTTATTATTTTATCTACTTAATCTATCACAGATGAAGAATGGTATCCTGGAAGTTTCTCATTGCATTATTTCTGTCAAATTTCTCTAGTAACTTGAATCCACTTTGCTTTATTTATATTGCTTTACATCCTATCCTGATTGTGTTTTTTTAAATCTCAATTACTGCTGTTTAGCTTCAGATTCTAACTTGGTATTAAGATTGCTGTGTATTATCAAAAGTGATTTTAACAGAAGAAAGTTCTGTGAATTCCAGGTGATTTATATAGAGACCCATGA